GAAACATAGAAGTTGCTAGGTCATTAAATCAATTATAACGTTTTCAAATTATATTTACTCCTACAAAATGAGCATGTTCTATCGGAATGGCTTCAAAAATAAAATCCTAAAAATTTATACACTGTTGTGCATTTTGAGAATTGAACATTTCTGAAAATGCAAATTGAAATTTTTAAAAAGGGTTTTCTTTATCAAATTCTCAAAGGAAAATATGAAATTAGGCCTATTTATAGAAGAAAGAAAAAAGTCATACATATCAGAGAACATGTAAAGGGTTACTTTAAATAAAAACCTCATTCAAAAATATCCTTCAGCTTACTCTTACAGACAAGACTTGCCCTAGAATTTTTGGGTTCAGGCTGGCATTGAATCATGTTGTAAAACAGTCTAGTTAAGAACAAAGGTCAATAAAACTTATATCATATCAGCAAAGTAAAGACATCTTTTATAACCTTTTTTGCAGGGATTACTAATACTACTAGCTTTCTGGTCAGATGAAATTTGCAATTACACGTTACCAACTTTCTACACCCCTCAAGTCGGGTGTCTGGTCTACACACCCGTAAACTAGCACTGCAGTAACGATGAGAATAAAAGTAATACAAATATGCAAGTGTGGCAACAGGCTCAACAAAGGGGTAATTCCAAGATTATTTGTCTTTGTATTGAAATCATTCCAACAGTATTTATTTGCGCAAACCTGAAACTAGCGTTTATGATCTGTCTATTTATGATCAGAGAAATTGTGCATACTTTTGTCAGCTGTTTAAGGCAAACTTTCTTGCGGAGAGCCATAGGCCTATAGATATGTTATTCATTTATATTTAATGTTTACAACAATTTTTAACAGAAGAGAAATCAAACCGTTTAACTATGCAAAATCAAACATATGACCATTCAGGTGCCATACAAATAGGTTCAATCTTATTGTCGTACATGACATATCACACTTCAAGTCTTTTGAAACCAATACTGAGATACCTCGAGGACAAAAACTTTGAAAATCATTCAAACTCATTTTCTGTTAAATATTATACATTTACAGCGTAAAACAGCCCATTTTTTCACTTTCTATTGGCCAAATCATGAGCAGGATAACATAGATGCTTCAAATGGCCTCATGCAAGTCTAGGGTCGGACAGGATTTCAAAATACGAGAAAAAGATTTTTAAAATTATATATCAAATGAAGTATTAAAAAAAGAAATAAGACTATATTATGTTTGAGTTATGAAACAGAACTCCGAAATCATAACTTTCAAAGAGAAGTAAACAAATACTAAGCACTGCAATCCGAGGTAGAATAGAAAATAATCAATTATTTGTTTCACAACAAGGAAAAAAGTCTGCACATTTCTTTTAAAAGTTGAGGGAGCACTCGGACAAGTTAAGACATCAAGTCCTCCGAGAGACAATCTTCCATCATTTCATTTTGTCCCCATAGTAACATAAGTAAATAAACACTCATATTGAGCAGAACTTGTGTCTTTACAACTGATAGCCTCTGATAACCAACACTTCCTTTCTAATTGAAAACTAATTTAAAATTGAAAGTATCCGTACTTTAAAATGTTCGCATGCCTAATCCTCTGAAGATAAAATACATTGATATTACAATATATTTATTTCAAGGAACATGTTTCTAAATCTTCAAATGAAATTGACAAAATCACTGGTGAAGTAAAGATCCAAAACATTTTATACTGGTCGATTGATTTCAGATGGCACTTAGATTTAAATGTCACAAAATATATATTTTCATCCCATTTCAAAAACTTGTGAGAGACAGTGTTGTAATATATAGTATTGATAAACTTTTCAAAAGTCCAAATCAGTGAACACTAAGGCACTCCAGATAAAGTCCTTTTAAAAAACAAAAGATCTGCTACACGCCTGCCCAATGCTTGAGGCACTTACAAGGAAATACTGGCCTAACACTAGACAGGGAGACCCAAAACTCTACGGGGGCCTGGAGGATCTAGAGCAAACAGCAGCCTTCGCACTAGAGACTGGGATGTCCATTTAGAGATGAACAAGAAGGAGAAGGAGGAGAAGGAGAAGGAGAAGAAGAACAAGAAGAAAAGCAAAAAAAAAGAGCAATTACAGTTACAGACCAGAACAATCACTTGGGCCACCAGTCTCAATCTTTTCCACAAGGAAAAAAGCCACATTTTTCCAGTTAGTAACATATGAATACATGTAATATCATTTACAGTTACAAGTTTAGTAAATTTTACTAAATCTAAAATCACAGGTAGGCACAAAGCTGCTACATCAGAATAGGAGTTCAGATATCCAGTGTTGCCCTTGTTGAACTTAATCAGAACACATAATACATCAAGTGCAAGTGAGTCCATTCTGTTTTTGAATAAAAAACAAAAAACGATGAAACTCTTTGGTCGTTTTCCCGCAGGAGGAGAGAACACAATGTGAGTGATAGATTTTCACTTCTGCACCCACTTTTACCGGTAAAAAACCAAATGACCCAGCCACAGAGAAGACAAAGCAACATTGTACATCCACTTCAACCAAACATATAAGGTATCAGCAATGCCGTCCCAAGGCATAGCAACGTATCTCAATCTCGCACAATTGAAGGGTTTTATTTTGGTTTTGTCAGTGTATTACACTAGCCTTACCAATAGTCTTCTTGTGTCAAAGGTAGGATGATGTATCTACATCCAAAATAGTAATTTTCAAAATGATAAAGCTACAAAAGTGACTGATCTCAATCCATTTATTGATGGCAGAGTGAACATTTCCACACTATCATGTTGAGAAACATTCATAACAAAAGGCTTTTTGCATTCTAAAAATCAAAACGTTTTCATTAACGTCACTCTGCCTTTGGACGGCAGAGCAATAAGTGAGAGAGTCGAGAGACAAAAACCACACACATATGTATTTAAAAGCATATTGCTAGAAAATATATATCTTTAACAACATAGCAACACTCAACAGAAAAATTCACAGCGAAAGCAAATCATAAGGGTCACAACACAAGAACAAGGAAGGCCCTTCAAAGTGACAAAGCAGAGAAAATTAAACAGTCTATTCCAGTGTGGCAATCCACAAATCAGCAAAACTGAACTAAAAACACCCTATCTTTTGTATTTTATGTCTGCTACAGAACCTCTTCATCCCTCACTACAGCAAGACCCAGTCTCCGTTCGAGAACCCCCCCCCCCCCCTCCCCACACACACACACACACAAACTTCACGCTGTGACATGTAACTATAGGATTACAATTACAACTATCCACCATAGCACAGCTCTACTTCGCTCCATGCTGCACAGAACACTTATCGAAAAAAACCAAAAAACAACCCATCAGAGCACAAAATAGGAGAATGTGGAATAAAACTTTTAACATCCACCAATAACACACAAAGGCTTGAATGAATATTCTGCCGTAAGCTGACAAAATGCCTTTTTTTCTTTTGGTGCCAAAAATTTGTATTTGCTAAATCGAAAGCCTGATCAGCAACCCTACTTGTGTGCAAAAATCAAAGTGAAATCGTGACTAATTTTTGAATAAATTAGAACTCAAATTTCGGAAGCATTCCATTTCTCAATGATTACGCTGACAAAAAACCTCTTTTTCTCATTACTGTTGTGAATGAAAAAGGCGTTACGTCAGCTTATGGCAGTATTGTACCTGATCTCACTCTCTGGACAATTCAAGTTTACCTTTTTGATAAAAAACTGGATTCATTACTCTTCTATGATAGAAGTAAAAATGAATTTTACAGAGCGTGGAAGTAGTCTATAGCCCAGAAAGCATATATATGCATTCAGTACAAGAGTTTTATTATACTACCAAAAAAAAATTTATATATAAAATTATATACGCATGAAAAGGAACATTTTCAAAGAAGTATAAACACACAACTGAATAAATATAATGATAATAAGAAAAGAAGATTTCAAATCTCCGTGTATTAATTTCTTCAGGTGACACTCAATCTGATCTATGTCAATCCCAAAATAGCTTCATGAGCAAAACTTCCAAAGGAAAGAATGTGGAGCAGACTTTTCTTCCTAAAAGCTCAAGCTCTGGTTTTTCTTTAGTGCACAGCAAAAAGCAACTATATCTAACAAATGAAGTTTTTTTCCACATCATTTCAAAACTTAGTTCACATTCAAGTAAAATGGAACACCCCCCCCCCCAATACCTTCCTGCTTGCATGAACCCCTTCTCTAGGTCTGCTTAGATTGTAAAAGTGAACAGTGCCATGCACGCAACAGAATTATTCAAGGCACAGTTAGTCATTTTCTCTAGTGTTCAAACAGAGATAACTCAAACTAATCTTGTTCCCAATCTTTCGCCAGTGATGACCCCATTGTATTTCCCGCCTTACTGCTATAAATAAGCAAGATATGAGCATTTTAATCAATGACGTTAGTTCAGTTCAATACTAAATCTCCTTTTCCACATTTCCTTTTTACACAGCATATGAGGTTAATACCACGCAACACTGAAGGGGTTTACGGAGCCATCTATGAACGATGGAGCGAAGAAGCAAACAAACCAAAAAGGAAACTCAAACACACACATCCCACATGATCTTGGACCACAGAAGCTGAGTGTATATCATCCACCACAGCATCAGAGTAGAGTTTATAAATGTAGGAATCCAGCCCTGATCTGATTTGAAATATTATATTATATGCCAGGCATCATGGTAAAATCAGGCGCTCGTTAAACGAAATCGAAAATAACGGCATTTACTGCCAGTATGAACAATTTTATCAATTTTTTTTCTTCGGTTCATTACCTTATATGTCCATTTAAAAACACATTTTTGTTTGGATTTTACAGAAAAAACGTTGACTAAAGGCACCAAAAAATATGTAAATTTTCAGTTTCCAAGGACACTCAAGCTATTGAAATCACCTAACTTTGGCGACCATTTTCTCGCTAACTTTACCTCTGAAACCAGGCGAGCCCACCTTGATCAATTGCAAATATCTCGACTTCTATTCAAGATTGATGGGTATTTTTTTCATCAAAAGATAGACAAATAAACAAGCTTAAAGATGATTTCAATAACCCCACCTGCCTAAAGATTGACAAGTGCCTGATTCCACCTTGTCGCGACACATACGATATAAATTCTAATGGACACACATACATGTGCTATAACCACCTACAACACACACACACACACCGACACTGACACACGCACAGATTTGTCATCCAGTCATAACCAATCAACAACCCATTCAGACAGCCAGTGACTTGAAGCACAACATACACCTTGAATCTCTTTGACCAATGTAATTTATAACAGTCTGTACAATATGCTGCGGCTCCTGTCTTAATCTACGCAGGCACTGAAGCATTTGATCACTGCATCTCTGGAGAGGGGAGAAAAAAAGAAAACAAATAATTTCAATGAGCTTACTAGCTGCAAGCTCACATTCTACTTGATGAAATCAGAGGTAAAGCTCAAACCATTTTCTAAAATTCTTACACAGTAATGAAATCAAACCAATGTCCATGCTAAGATAAAGCAAATTTCAACATATATATAGGCTACATGTGTAGTCTCCTTCCTCATCTATTTAGATGCAAATCAAACTTTTCCCCTTGATAGTGTTACTTCACATTTTGAAAGATTCATTTTGATGAGACATGTAGCCTACATAGCTGGTGAATGAAACAGACAAGGCTTCATTTCTACTTCTTTTCTAAGTGTAAGCTCATCATCATCATCATCAAGGGCTAGATTTGAACAAACATCAACAATCAAAGTTCGCAATACATTTCAATTCTCAAAAGCTCTAAAACAAAAAACCCTACATTAACCTGGTCTTTTCTCAGCACCCATCTGTTAAGGTTTTCAGAGTAAGTTACTGTAGGTTTACTCCTGCTTTGTTTGCCTTCTATTTGTCCAGTAAGAGTAAGGCGTTCAAGGCCTTATAACAGAGGTGCTAACTGGATTTTTTTTATTTTTATCCTCAACTTTCCAAACCCCAAGGAATCATGTATGCACAGGGATTCAGAACTTATAGATCATACTGACAAATACATCTTATACCAAGAGTATTTTTATATAAAGTGCAATAAAACATGCAAAAAAAGTTTTAAAAACATTTGAACTTGCTCTAACGACCACCTGTCCAAGACAACCACCTGTCCAAGACAACCACCTGTCCAAACAATCAATTCCCCACCTCCAGCTTAAGTTCCTTCTCTATCAAAATGACACTGCCCAAGAGGACCACCTGTCTACGATGAACACTTTTCTCCTTGACAATAGGTGGCAGTCTTGGATAAGTTCAACGGTATAAACAAAATGCCTAAGCAAGAGTATATTATTTACAAAATCCCAAACAATCTCAGAAATCAGAACGTCCCGATTTATCTGGACAATCAGCATTTTTGTTTCTAAGTAATTTAGTAAGCTACACTTTCTTTTCCAGCACTCTTACACAGTAGTTTCACTTTCTCCCATTGTCCCCTTCATTAGAGCACTGTTCCCTTAGGCATGATCCTTTTTTCTATGGAATATTCAAACCCATGACCATCTCTCTACTTCAATGTCCACACACGTTCTACAACATCAAACTAAATAAATACAACAGACAAACATACTTCCCCCCACCCCACACACTACAGACATGATGAGTATAAATCTGCGAGAATGAGTCTCTGAGTGAGCAACATAACTGGCATTAATCTACACACAAGCCATCCATCAGAAAGAAAAAACATCAGCTGTTCACCTACACTTTTCTCCTTCACCCACGACACTTGCAACAAATGAATTTTATCCACGCGTATTTTTAGTTTTACTTTTAGTAAGAGTTTTACGGCACTTGCTACACAAATAGTTTATATACGTGCCAAAGAGTAGAAGTGTAACCAGAGAGAGAGTAACGTACAAAGAAAATAAGGAGGGGAGAAAAGGACAATACACATAATCATAGGAAAGAAGGAGTGAACCACACCAGAGCACCTACCAAAACCCACCATAGGTATTTACAGGAACTTTTCAATTTTCAACTTCGTGTACAAAAATACCTTCCGATGAGAACCCCAGCCCTGTTTTCCTATAAAAATTCTTCTCCACCTTGCTATATATATATATATATATATATATATATAACACATTTTTAGCTGCCGTCACCCTATCGTCAGTCCTTTGTACTGAGGCCAGTCCACACAGTCCAACAACAGTGTCTCTATCATTAACCCCAAAAACTTCAGAAGGATTATCTTGAACAATGTGTCAATGGAAGTTCAGAATTTTCCCACCTTGTCCAAGACAATTAGCTGCTACATCCAATATACCCTAGGAACATGCAATAATACACAAGCGCCCCCCTCCAACCAGGTGAACACAAGACTTACCTGGCAAAAGGTATGTAGGAGATAGAGTACCAGGTCATTGCCAAAAACTGAATGATAACGCACACAATAGTCAGGGGAGCATTCTTGATCTGCATCAAAAGCATAGCAAAATAAAGTTTGGTGATCAAGTGATACAGAATGCAATTGAAAATTTTATATGTATCAAGAAAAACAATTAACAACAAAACAACAAACAACAACAACAAAACAAACATAAAAAAATGACTGCTACTTTACATTACAAACTTATATATCATCAGAGACTTAAAAATAACAAATTAAATATATGAACAAAATACACTGTACCACTAACTTAAGTATTGTTATGATTTGATTCTATCAAGGGGAACAATTTGGAAGGTAACACAGCACAAAAGAGAGCAGAAACTTGTATTTAAAGTTTCAGTAAGAGTTTTATTGCCTTGCAAAACAATAAGGTCATATAAACGCCGAATATTAGAGGCATTATAAAAGAGTAACAAACACAATAAGGAGGAGAGATAAGGAATATAGATGTTTGATGGGAAATAAGGAGCAAACCACACCACAGCACCTGCTAACCACCTACACAGAAATTTGAAACATTTCAAGCCTAAAGAATAAAAGTGGAGCCATGAGCTAAACCTCTGAATAAATACTCAAAGAAGCAAAATATAAAAACACACTTACCGCTATAGCACAAACTAACGTGAGGATGAACATGACCTGTAGAAAAATAAAACATCAGACACTTGTGTCATACAGCTTGATCAGATGGTAAAATTAAGACAGAAGTATTTCTTTCCGCGAAAATATCAGACCAAAGACAACAATGGTACAATCTTTTCCCTCACTGTACTGTTTTTTTAAAGAGTG